ATTAACGAAGAAAAAAAGAAAAAGCACTCACCTATGTATACAAGATTATTAAAGTAAAATAAATGTAGTAAATAAAAATCGAAGATTTTAATCAAGTGGCATTCGTGGTTTACTTTAACACTTTTAATTTACATTATAAAGGCATTAATGCCTTCCTCTAAATTCACAATAGTCACTTTCATTTGTTAGTTATTCTATTGTTTATAAAATTTTGTCAAACTCTAACTGATGACGGTCTCGAGCATACATACTTCGATATATTACGATGACTAATGAGTAAACAATAATAGTGATGTTACAAAATCGCTCAGATTTTCTCGCACTAGTTGGTTCTCTTTTCTTTTTAGTATAGGCTAGTTTTTCGGTTTTCCCCCAAGCTTTTCCCCAGTTGCCATCTATTGGCGCCTAAAAGACAAATGTTCATATTTTCTCAATTTTTCGGTCCCTTAATAGTAGATTATGAAGCTCCAGAAAATTGTGTACAATATGCCCTCCATATATCACAATCAGTTCTTTCCTATTTTTGGACAAAAAAACAAATTAAAATTAATCAAATCAAAAAATACTGAACTCATGGCCAGACTCATCAGTTGAGACACGACGATCGTAAATCATTCTCGTACTCTCAATGTCTTCATGTCTTCGAAGTAGGTGGCCTACCTGAAAACTCTTCATTCAACCTCAAATACGACCATTTTTAAAGCAATTTATATACTCATAAATTTGGCGTTCAGTAAATTGTTGCTGCATTCTGCTAGTAATCTGTAAGCACGAGTTACACTCAGAACTAATTTCTTCCTTTTATTTGTGCACGGGGCAACGGGGTACTTGTAATAAAATTATCTGAAACTACTGTGAAAAGACCGGGCACTGAACCAAAACCGATATCCTATTATATTCATTAATGACGGTGTGCCACGTTTACGATGGAAACACGGCTTATTTGCGCATAACGTCATCATGGATATTTCGTAGTTATTCCTGTTTATCTTTAAATAGGGAGTAACAATGAGAAACTGTGCATCTGGTAGTAAAAATAATCTTAGTTAATAATCTAGTTACTAAACTTTTTCTCTACTTATTGCTGTAGCTTCCATGTCATTGAGAAGTAGTGCATTAATGTTAATTAAAAGTTTAAACCGCTTCTGCTGCTTAAGAAAAAATATTACGTTTGTTTAGACTCAAATCACGTCTTACAATTCTCTCTAAGGAATGCTGGGAAATTGTGCAAAAATAAAAGTTATGACTAGATCGATGAAAATAGTCTATGAATGAGCATGATTTTTAAAATGCTTTGCCAAATCACTGCCGTGAATTTTCCAAATTGAATGCCACAATTCCTTTCTCATGATCATACACATTGTGAAAAAAGAAACAATAATAATTAAAGGTTTCTTAAAACCTAGGACATCAACATTTCACACAGTCATTTCTGTAACTTAATACACGAATTAATTAGAAATTAATAACATTCAAAAATGAAGACCATTCAAACAAAACTAAATATTTTGTTAGGTATTGAATCTTTTTAGTAGTGATAACTGGTCCGTAACGGCTGAGGTTCTGCACTTCTCGTTAGTAAATAAAACTTGACGTTTCAAGATATTGATTTTTTGTTTAATTACCGAAAAAACGTTGGAGACGTGCTGTTGCGTAGATCGTCTTTGATTTTTATTAAAACACGCCTACATGCCTACGCACGTAACTATATAGGGTCCGACAGGTGTTCAATTGAACGAGAAAGCCTGATGACGTCTCACAGAACATGAAAATTCATGTTATGCGCTTGCGCTCAAATCACGGTGTAAGAAATATCTTACGGCGTGGCTAAAAAGATGGCCATTACGTTCTTGATGGCGAGATTCAGAGCACCTAGCTTGACAGTGCCCACACATCTGCCATCTATCGGCCAGTTTCGTACTACAAAAAAATAACCTTTAACAGATGGCGCTAATAGTCACAGTAGTGAGATAGCGGCAAAATCTGATTTGAGCGTATGAAAATCATTGTTAAGTTAATATTTTTATAATTGACCAAGTAAATTAATCATATGTACCGTACAATAACTATAAACGTCAATGCACAAAATAAGTTATCACCGCATTACCAATACAAATATTAATTGCCACATGAAATATAAATTATTTTTATAAGTAAAATTTGAGGTGTACTTTTAGTTATTATAAATTCCATGTGAATATCTTTTAAACTAGTAATCATTATTCAATCAGATTTGTATGCAATTTCAGTGCGGAATTAAAACAATTTGTAAAATAACTGTATCAAAATACTTCAATAACTATAATACTATATGCTTGAGGAGGGGAAGTATTTTTTGGACGCTGGAAAGTTAGATACGCCATTACTAACTGCACAGATAGTTCTCTGCACTGCATTGAAGATATTAAAGATCCCTGTAGATAAATCTATCTTAAGGTACTTTGAATATAATAATACAATGGAAAATTATGCTTAATTTTACTTTACTGTTTGTGAAATATACAACACGAAGAAGGAGACATACTGTTTCAATGAAATTTATTCCAAAGATTAGGAATATCACAATGATTAGAATTACATAACTTTACCTGCATTTTGACCTTGAGAATTTAGTACTGTGTGAAGCCGCCACGCGTTGCCATCAGAGCCTCTAGACGTCGTGGCATAGATAGAAAGAGAGCCTGTATATGCTACTGGGGAACTCATTGCCACTCCAGAAGGACCAGAACGAACAAGATGGCGACCGATCATATCCCCGACAATTTCGATGGGTGACATGTCAGGTGAACGTGCGGGCCAGGGAAACAGTGGTAACTATCATTCTTCGCAGAAAACTTGCCCATTCCTCGCCATATGAGGTCGGGCATTATCCTGCTGAAATATGGCATGTGGAGCTGCTTGCGGGAGGGGCAGTACTTCGGGCTTTAAAACCTCCCTAATGTAACGGGTACTGTTCAGAGTGCCCTTAATACGTATGAGGCGACATCGCACATTGTAAGTAATGGCGCCCCAAACCATCACACTCGGCATTTGTCCGCTATGGTGAGGAACAATGCAAAGTAGGCAGATTCCGATCACCACGGTAGCGTAGAACATGCACGCGGCTATCGCTGTGCCACAAACTGAAGCGGGACTCATCCGAAAACACTACACTTTACCACTCAGCACACCCGTGAACACGTTCGCGTGCAGTCTGAGGAGCTGGAGCCTCCAATGCAGTCTGAGGAGCTGGAGGTTTCTGGTCAACGGAATCCGACGCAGTGTGATGCGTTTCACCATTCCAACCCACATCAGACGGCGTCGAACCGTCGACGCAGACATGACCATACCTGTTGTAGTGCCCCAAAGACAAATCAACACTGAGAACGACCCCGTTCTGCCGGTTACGGCCATCCGAACAAGATGGCGATCACCTCGCGCTGTGGTCACATTGTGTGTTCGTGTACTCGCTCGTCGCTGTGCACGACCCTCCTTTATCCACTAGCACCTCACACGCATCACTGTCTCAGCAGCACGCCCCGTTCGAGCCGCAATATCACGGCACGACAAACCCACATTTTGGAGACCAATCATTCTGCCACGTTTGAACGCACTCACATGCTGAAAGTGTGACTCTACGCCGACTCGGTGTGGCATGACACTGACTTGTCCTACGACACAAGAGAGCGCGTTTCTAGGCCAACGTGCACGCTATCTCTATATAAATTTAATATTTTCTTATTGATTCACTGTTCTATATATCCACCAAATTTTAAGTGATTCCGACCTTTCCTTCTTGGTATTGCAATTTTTACACACAGCAGTGTGTGCATAGTCCCCATAGCCCCCATAGTGCATAAAGTTATGTTATGCTGAGGAAAATCAATTTCTAGATTTCAACGGAATTATAAGTTTTGGGGTCCTCTGATTCCGAAAAAATGTTTTTCCAAAACTTCAATGTGTCCGTTTTTCAAAACCACAGTCCTTCTGTCCGTCAGCCCATTCGTATCTGGACAACACTAGCGCCAAAACTACTCATAAGAATTTTTCCAAATTAATAAATCTGATCTACCTGGCCCATCTCGAAGTCCTAAAATTTTAAAAATATTTCTTTGATTTGAGGGGGTACGTTACATGAAGGTTCTGGGATAATTTCAACATTTACTCGAAAATGAGGGCAATTTTTTCTTTACATTTCTTGTAAGAACAGAGTGAAACCTACCTATAAATGGGTCATATTTTCACGGTTACCTCTGAATAAAAAATGCAAAAGTTTGAATTTTTCGGCGTTTTCTTAAAAGACAATAATAAAGATAGAAATTGATCTGAAAATGAAATTTGTTTTCCCCAATTAATTCGTTAATTGATGTCATTTTCGTTATTTTAAAAATATTAGTAGTTTTTCGCACAATGAATACGGGCAATTTACGAAAATTAAAAACAAAAACTCCCTCAATTTTTTTCTTTAAACTTTCCAGCGGATACTGCTAAATTCACAGAATAATGTGATGTAGTATTGATGTATTTCTTTAATTTTCCAAAAATTACACTGTTTTTGTTTTTTCAATACCTCTCACGTTGTTAATATTCACATTACTGGTGTTTTTATACTTTATTGCATTTGTGAGTACAAGGTATTCACATAATGTCTTATGAAGTTTCTCGACAACTCAAATTTGGCTGAGAATATTAGCTCAAAATTGCGCATTTTCAGGAACGCTCAATCGACTTTTTTTTAAACACAGCTTCAAATATTTCAGTAATAATATATTTCAATAAGAATATGCATATTTGACTATATTGTACTCTTCTGTAATATTCCTTATGTCATATTTCATTTCACCATTAGTGGACCGAGAAATTCGATATCCTAAAATTATTGTTAATTTTAAGAAAGAGAAGTACATTCAAAAGTACCGCAATATTATGGATTGATTTTAATTGGTCAAGGGATAGGTTGACACAACAGTTTGCAAGGTCTACCCTATGAGAGCGGGACGGTCGCAAAGAACTTGCATTGGCGATATTTCACTGGTCTTATCGCCCCTGCGCAGTGGCAAACACCAGCAAACACGTGTTACAGAACGGCGTCAGTAAAGTGGATTGAATTTTATCATTGTGTCAGTTTCGTGTTTGTGCCACGAATAATTCTTGAAAATATTATTTGCGCTGTCTCATTCGTCTCCAACTAAATTAAGCTGCGATTTCTTTTCTTGAAGATTAGTGTAGATTTTATATAGTGATGGGGAAAAAAAGGAAGCTTGGAGAACCTGAAAATGAAACCGAATTCGATCCGCCTCCTGCTCATTTAGAAGTTAAACACCTTAAACACCAGGAAAAACGTTTAATTATTGTTTTGGAAGGAGCCCAATTGGAATCTGTGAAGGTAAAATTTTCAGTTTATTAAATACTGTAAATACTGCTATAACCTCGAACTGCAGTTGAACTTTCATTTAATGTTCATCGTTATTAGGTTGGAGATAATTTTCAACTGTTGAATTGTGATGATCATGCAGGCTTCCTACGCAAATTCGATAGAGAGCCAGGATCATGTAGACCTGATATTACCCATCAGTGCCTTTTAATGTTGATGGATAGTCCATTGAATCGTGCTGGTCTTTTGCAGGTATGTGAGTTTAATTTCTATAATGTTTTTAAATATTTTATGTTGGTTATATTACAAATTAGGTTTTGAGTTTCTCTTTATAGTATAACGCAGTGTTTTCGTGATGTTATTACATGTTGCTAAGTAGGAATGTAGTAATTTCTTGTGTTTGTTATGTAGGTTTATATTCACACAGAAAAGAATATACTTATTGAAATCAACCCCCAAACTAGGATACCTCGCACATTCAAGAGATTTGCTGGTCTGATGGGTAAGGATAATATTGTATTTTAGTACGTATTTAATGCATAATGTAAGAAAAGAAATAATCATCCACAACAATCAAAGTTATAATATTTATTAATTATAACATTCTCAAAGTCAACTTTCGGGAAAACGCTTTTCCCATCTTCAGTCTCCTTTCCGAACAGAAAAAATTGCTGGAGACGGCTAGGTCTTGTGGAATGGAATGAAGAGAAAGCCTTAATAATAAATTTCTAGAACTTCGATGTTGTGGACTATTATTTCCTTTCTCACATTATGGATTACCACAAGATATCTGCTACCAGCATGGAATATATTCAATGCAGTTCATTCTACCCCATTAATACCCACATTTCTATTTTTGCAATGATAAGAATTTAAACTTTTATACAACTTATTTTAATTTGGTAATTGAGTTTAAATTAATGGATTTTGACTGAAAGTGAACCAAAATAGTTTGTAAAATGAGTTTTGCTGTGTTCTCACTGTAACTTCACAACATAACATCAAAACCAATGCTACTGTGTGGCTCTGAAACCTGAATTCTAAAGCACAAAGACATCCAAAGGTTGCAAGCTAATCAGATGAGATATGCATATCACGTGATAGGAGTCGCTAGAGTAGTACATTAAAAAAGTAGCTCAAGACAAAGAATGTAGTGAAGGTCTTAAAAGAGAGGCAGAAGAGATCGCTCACTCACATCATCAGAATGAAAGGGGAAATATTGCAAAAAACAGCCCGTAAATGTTCAGAAATATGAGCGATTTTTATAACATTCATTGATGCCAAACCAATTGGAGGGGGTCTGCAATAAAGTTGTAGAAATTAGTTTACATTTATTTCACACAAGTTGGCTTATTTGTGCTGGAGCCGTTGTACTCCTCATTTTTCTTATCAGCTACCAACTGGAAAAATATTATTTACATGCATAATTCTGTGATTAAATTTTAGTCTAGCGAGTTTCAATAAAAATGTGATGAATGTAAACAATGCAAACTCACTGAAATTATGTAGGGCTAAATATGTTGTATATTTTGTCATCCACATTGAAATGTTAATGAATATTACAAAGATCAATATCATTCTGGGATTTAATGTGAGATCTGACACTATTTATGTCACTAAATTGTCAACTTAGGCTTAAATGGGTTAAAACTTGAGCATTGTAATTAAAATTAGTACTTGTGAGCTGCCAAATATTGAAGCCATGGGCTACAGATTGAAGACTAAGAATAAAAGATGGCTTCTCCCCATTGACTGTGTATTATCTATCCAAAAGTTAATTGTATGTGGTTTTATTTTAAATTAAGGAATTGATTTTACTGAATTATTGCAAAACCTGGTTAATGTTTCTTCATGGAATTAAAGTTATTAAAAATCTTGAAGAATAAAGCTCAATATGTGTGTTTCATATTATTTCTACTGACTACTACAAGCTAATTCTGAGTTTTATTTAGAATAAGTTTATGATTTCAGGCCTTGATTTATAAGGATAGTTCAGTTGGCTATTAATAAGCAATAAGTGTAAATGGTGAGAGATATTTTCATTAACTCAAAATGTAGTTGGAGGCTGAATGACTGAAGATTGTAATTCTGTAAAAATATTGTGAAGAGATTTGGAAAATCTATATTTCAAACGATAACTGAAACTTCATGAAGAGATTAGAATGGCTTGGAAACATTATGAAGGATTCAAACATTTCTTGCAACAATTCAGACACCAAATGGGGCTGATATTTCTGCAAATAGTTTTTAAAAATGAGAGGTGGGTGTGAAGGCTCCAGATGAAACAAGATATTTAAGGGAAGTATGATACAAAAACAAATGGAAAAATGTTATTGTCAGTTATTGGGAATAAAAAGTTGTATTGCTCAACAAGTAATGATCTAAAAAACAGTTTATATCCCTGTTGACAAAAAAGAAAAAAATATTATCTATTTTTCTCAATGCTTTCATTTCACTTTAACATGTGTTTCCTTCTCAAAAAGAGAAAATTAAACATTTCATGGAAAGATAATACTTGGATCACACAAGGAATTAGAACATAGTGTAAAATCAAACATTTACTTGACTTTATTTCCAAACAGCATAACATGTCAGCTGTTTTCCATATCTACTTCCGAGAATACAAAAGAATTTTAAGGAAAGTAATGGTTCAAGCAAAAATAATGGAAAATTATCAGGATATTTTGAACGCTAGTAACAAAACTAAAGCAGGAATATTGTTCAAAAATACGACCACATCATCTCGATACGTAGTAAGGATTGTTGTTTTAAAGGATAAAGAAAAAGAAGCAAGTTACCTGGAAAAAGTTGCAAATCTCTTCATCCATCACTTTTGGAGAAGTACTGCTGTTCTCACAAAAGGTCTAAACCCACAAAATTCAACATTGTTTGCTTCCCAAAAAATGTTCGACACTGTTTCCAAAACTTCTAACGAAATTCTGAGAATTGCCAGTAAACTAAAAAATAAATATTCGTGTGGTTTAGGTGAATTTCCGGATTGTTTCTTAAAAACCTTTATACATCTGTTAACTCATGTTTTCATTGCTTCTTTATGCACAGGAATATTTCCAGATATTTCAAAATAGCAAAAATTAAGCCTCTTTAAAAAGGGAACAAAAATGAACTTCAAAATCACTGGTTAATTTTCTCAAAAATATTAGAGAGGCTTTTCTTTACACGAATGGAAACTTTCTCAGGAAAAACAAAATATTTTCAGACTCTCAACACAGTTTTAGAAAATCAAATTCTACAGAAACTGCTGTTTTATTAGAATAGCTATTATTAGAATAATGAAAAAAATGCCATCCTGCATTCCTGCAAGTCTCTTTTCATTGTGCTTGGAATCTTACCATTGCCCTGCCTATTTATGTACGAATCTGTAATATTTGTCAAAACTGACTTACTTAATGGTAGGAAAATATTTTCTTGCAATACTGATATTTATAATTGCAACACACTTCGTAGAAATCACGTTCATCAAGTATCAGTATCAACAGCTCACTACCAGAAGTCCACGTACAATACATGTACGTTACTTTACAACGCATTGCCAGATGACATTAAACAATTAAAAGCAGTTCACAAATTTGAGTTGAAAGTAAAATCTTTTCTGATGCTTAACATATACAAATAGACTATACTGATCATCAAAAATAAAAAATTGGTTTATTTTAACAAAACAGAGATATGTAATGAATTAGTTTACATTTGTATTGAACTTTTTTTTAAAAAAAAAGACTTAATATGCTTATAACAAGTCTTGTACTTCAGCTTTGGGGTCAATGACCCTCGCCTTGATCAGGTTTTTGCCCGGTTTCCCTGATTCATTGAGAAAATGATGAGATGGCCCCTAGGTTTGCCTTCTGGACATAAACACCTCCACTATGCGCACGTTTTGTTGAACTATCCTTTTGCTTATAGTGGTAGGAGTAGAGCTAAGGTTGAGCTAAATAAGCTTTCAATATCTTGGGAATTAAAATGTCTAGTTTTTCAAATGTTGCTTATTTCATGCTTTTTTAAATTTTGTTTGTTTTATTTTTTAAAAATTTTACTTTCAACTATTTATAGTTAAAATGATGAGATAAGATTCTGAACTCAAGAAAATGTGCACAGATGATCTCCACTGTATGTCACACACAGTTTGTACTGTTTGACTAAATAAATCTAAATCAAAAACACCACTTTTGAAATATTGAATTCAGAAACAGACTGAAAAGTTGAATTCAGAAACTTAGACTGAAAAGTGTTATGCCAGAAAATTAGTATACTGATAAAAGACCTTGATGGATGCAACACAAGATCACATTGGTGCTTAAGTCCCAAACATCATAACTCGCAGTTTCAAGAACTGAACAAATTTAATTATTAAAGTGCATTGTTACTCATTAACGTGGTCACAATTTGGATTTCTGTAATGTGTTTCTGGAGTGTAATTGCATCCAACAAGGTGACAGGATGGTGACAATTATAATAATCACGCTTGTGAAAACTGTTCAAAGGATTGGTTGTCTTGGTAGCTTAGAGCAGCTGGGCGTAAACCAGAAGGCCCAGGTTTAGTCCCGGTCAGGGCAACAAATTTAATTATCGAACTGAAATGTATGTAAATTATCAGCCATAGTTATTGGCCAGTTCTGACCTCCAGTGAATTTTATCTTCTTTCACGTTAACGAAGGTAAAAGGATAAAAAGCTAAAAGACAGTGTATTAATGTTGAAGATGAATGGTCTAGTGATCTTTACGCTTGGAATGAATACTTCAACAATTCTGAGGGTGTGGCCTCTAAATGGTGGAAAATGTATTCAGAGAGAGAGAGACTGTATTAAAAATCCATTGGGCAAAGTAACAATAATGCAGAGTACTGGGCTTTCATGGCTGTCATTATGATTTCCAGGGTGATGGATAATGATTTTTTTTTAATTTATTTATTCATGTGTAGGAAGTAATATTAAATATTATACATTATATTAATTTAAGGTATATGTCTCACTGGTTATGTTTAAAAATTGCTTTAAATCAATGCAGTTGATTTAATATTTATAAAATTCTGAACTGTACTTCTGATAGGATAGTTTATTGTTTTAGAGATTGGTGTTTGTAGAATGATTTCTCCATTCTAAGTAAAACTTAGTCTTTTCAGGCTTCCAACATTTATTAAGTCAAAAAATTCCCTTCTTATGTTTTTGTTTTTAACTTACATGACTCATATTTGTATGCTGATGTATTTCTTGTTGTTTTCTCTCTTTCTAGTTCAACTTCTCCACCGCTTTAATGTGCGAGCTTCTGATGCAAACATGAAACTGTTAAAGGTTATTAAGAATCCTATAACAGATCATTTGCCTGTAGGCTGTAAGAAATATGGTACTTCATTTTCTTCAACAAAACTAATTAATCCTCGTGAATTAGTTTCTACTGAAGATCCTGTTGTTGTAATTGTAGGAGCAATGGCTCATGGAAAGGTGAGTAATTTACTTTGGTTTATGGTGTCCTTCATGAAATTTTTTACTACAGTAAACAAGTAATAAACATGGATTGTTTATTTTGACTGCGTATGTTGAATTTTCCTGAGATATGCATAGTGCAGAGGGAAAGTTTTTGAATCAGTCAAAAAATTCTGGGTTAAGATTTTGATGGAAAAATACATTTTGAGAGTTCAAGGTGAAAAATGTGGTTTTTACGATGATTGGAATGGGGTTGAGATGCATAACTGGGCAGATTAGAAGCGTATGAGCTCTAACTTACGTAAAGGCACCAGACCTATCATCCTGCTGTTGATGATGATGAACTTAATTAAACATGTCAAGATTAAGGTAAGCAAAGGAATGTCTAACATTGCTCAAGATACACGAGTGCCATTCCAAAGGTGTTTGAGATGACTGCAAGTTGAGAGAGGAGATACTGTTTTATACCAAAAACAGTATCTATCTATGATTGTGGGAGCAGTGGGATTGACTTTTATGCCAGTCCCCCTACCCCCAGTTCTCACCATTAATATTATTTACTTGGATGTATTGGGTAGTAATTCATTTTTAAATGAAAGGTTCAAAGTTGTAAAATTCTGGAGTTACATCTAACCTAGGATTGAGGGGAAGACACAGTATTAGCCATGCATGTGATAAGTTTGTGTGTTTGGGTTCTGTTATTGGATTTTCTTTAAATTTCAGGTTGATGTAGATTATGTAGAAGAGACATTTTCTTTGAGCAATTACCCATTATCTGCTGCACTAACTTGTACAAAACTATGCTCTGCATTTGAAGATGTTTGGGGTATTGTATGATACAAATGCATTTTGTAAGTATAACATACATATTTTATAACACTGGGTATTCCATGACACATGCAGGTGTTGATTATTTTGTTTGCCATATTCTGTGTTTTCTTGTCAGTTTCGAGTAAAATTATGTAAGACATTCCAGTCCATTTTAAACCTCCAAAATGGAAATTTAATTTCTTTCTTTTAACCTTGTTAAATATTCAAGAGATCCAGAAGATTGGTTGTATATATTGTAATGATAAGAATCTGAAAGACAAAAACTATGTTACCATAAAGCTGTGCTTTCAAGTTGGAACAATTTTATTACCATTTTTTTGTTGAAATTAATCACTGAATATTCACAATCATTTATCAAGATCGTAATCACAAACCTTTTATTTTATGTGTATCATACCTAATATGGGTAAAAAAACATTTATAGATTGTATATTGGCATTTGTATACAAAAGTATAGAAAGAAATGAAAAAGATAAAAAGGTAAAAAAAAAATATTTTGATACAGTTATACCTTATTCTGAAGTGTTAAAAAATTGTTTTCATGTAATGTTCATATTGTCAGCGCCAATCCAAAACCATGAAGTGCAGAAAAATATTTTTATTGATATTTTTACATTATTTACCTACAAAGGGCAGTAGACATGAAAAATCTAAAATTTTTGAATATTTTGATTGTAGTTTTAATTAAATATTTAGATTTTACTAAACATTTTTATATATAATTTATGTTGTACCTGATAATAGATCATTATTTTATAACATTTGTGAAAATGACTATAAGTTTGATATGTCAAGTTTTAAATCAGCGTAACTTTGGTACTAGTTATTCTGGAAGGCTGTTGTTTTGTTTATATTTGTCAGGAAATTTCGTTTCCAAGATAGCATGCACTGTCAATTCTGTATTTTCATGTTTATATAAGAAAGAAGATTCGTCCATGGTTTGTATTTATTTTTGTGTGTTTTGGTGAACACATTAGCTGAGTAGTGAGTTTTAAATTTTTTGGGAAAAACTACAATGTATTTTGTCTGTATTTTGTTGATAATATTCCTTTCTTTCAGAATCTACTTCAGTAATTATTCGAAAATTAATACAGTGGGTTGCAATGTGTTCAGTAAAAGTACTACAGCAGATTTATTAGTGTAAGTGTACAAATTATAAAGTTATACCAATATAAAAACAAAATTTGGTGTTTAATTTTTGACATGCAGTGTATTTGTTTTAAAATAATTATTAAGAATGTTATTATGAATTATGAAGAAATATTATAGATCTGCTACAGTGTGAGTAAGATTTTCTAGTTTTTATCAGTATCAACATTCTAGGATATATTCTAAATAGTCTTTTTAACATCGGCAAGTATAGTACTCGTTTACTTCCCTAGAACAACAATCAGAATGTATGCTACAATTTAAAGATGTAAGAATTACTTTTTTACCACAAAATGAAATTGCAAAGCAATGTTGAGACTAACTTCAAAAGTTAATGAAATACTTGCATTTATTATGAGAACTTCATTGGAATTTTCAAATCGTCAAACCTTTAAAATATTTTATCTTATATTAGTTACACCTCTGCTGTTGTAATACTTCCTAACATGAACTTCCTATCAGCATTATCATATGATTTCCCTATCATTAGTTCTTCAGCTTAGTAACGTCATTGTCATGACCTTTTGAGTTAGGCACTTCGCCTGTTCTTGTTTCCAGTATTTCTCAATCGCTATTAAGGTGTTCTTGGTCTGTCCATCTCTTCTTCAGTCCCCCTGGTTCTCTTCTTTCCTGTGGCTTGTAATTCATTGCCATTTTTGGATATCTGTTGGGTTTCATTCTTTTTGTGTGTTTATGACATTATTTGCTGCTTCTCTATTTCTGGACAATGCTCTTTTTTTTTTTTTTTTTTTTTTCCCTACGTGTTCATATTCTTCATTATCTTTCTTTAGAACTTTAATACTGCTCTTAAGTATCCTATTTGGGCTGCTTCAATCCTTTGCTTCTATCTTTGTCTTAATACCAAAGTTTTACTACCATATAATAGAGTTGTTTGGGATACAATGTTATGCAGTCATTTTTTGTTTGTTTCTGTATTCTTGTTTTGAAAAGTCTTTTGATGCATCCATTAATTTTGTTGTATTTTGCCAATTTTGTATCTGTCTTCCTCTTGTAATGAAATTTAGTTTCCGAGGTATGGGAAAGTTGCTACTTGTTCTATAATTTGATTGTCTATTACTCTTTTTATTTTTCTGCATTTTTTGCCTATTATTCCCATTGCTTTAGTTTTTGTGATTGATATTCTCATTTTGTATTTTTTCTGATATGTTTAATTGATATGTGCTGCTTTTTTTTACGTCATCCTCTGATTTGTCAGGCTTACTTGGTCATCTCCATATAATATGTTTTTTAAATTTTTTTGTCATATCTCATATTGATGACTCCTTAGACTCCCCCCTTTCATATTTTGATTATATGATATATAGATATGGTGGCAATAGTGTGCATTATCCATGTTCCTGAACCCTATAGAAGCATTGGTTTAGTTGTAATGTTGTGAAGTTGCAATTTTGTGGTAGAATTCATATCCTTCCCAAAGTGTCTTTTAATGGTTCTACATGTTCTGTACTAATTATGTAGCTTTCTCTCAATGTCTCCTTGAGTGTGGTTTAGTACATCAATTTTGTTTCCTAGGTAAGTGAATTATCTTACTTGCTCTACTATTTCCCCATATATTTCAATTTTAAATCTTCTTGGTTACTTTCTTGCATTGCCATGGATTTTGTTTTGCGTATTAATATTCTCATATGTTGTTGTTGTTTTAATATATACTTCGTAAGCACTTCATATTGGGTTCAAATAAACTAATAAGTAAATTAATTAGTATTTTTTTCTCATAAGTAACTTTCTGTTCTGTAATGGTTTTGGCATGGTGTTGTGATATGAAAAATATCATTTGTAAAGCATAAAAAACATTTTTCTGTTTGGATTTATTCTAGGTATCAGAAGAATTCATTGAGGACATGTACGCATTAAATTTGAGTCTGTGTTTGTAAGATAAAATGACAATTTGATATTCGTCTATTTGTGCAAAATAGAATCAACTGTTCTTGTTTGTAATATATAAAGCTATAGGATTAAGAACTGGCTATAATAAAGTGAAATTTTATAAACTTATTAACTGTGAATGTTACTATCCTTATTTCTTACCTATATTGCTTATCCTTAATAAATTACAGCTGACTGTGTAAGTAATCTGGTTATGTGCCAGTCCAACCTATCCAGTAATTTGGTGGACTGAGTACAAGAGTACCAATACTAACAACTTACTGTAATCACATGGTCTGAGGAAAATGTTTTTCCAATGTCGATCTTACTATTTGTCTTTTCATATATGGAAACTTTTCAAGATTCTTGATTGTCGTTGTGTGTGTTGATTGTGTATAGTGATTGTGTGTTGTAATGAGTTTCATCTTATGTTGTTTTCTTATTGCCCAATAATCCATTGGTTTTGTTAATCCAACCTTGTGTACTCTTGATATGGTGTCAGACTAGGGAGTCTACTATATTTCACTTGGATAGTATAACTTGCCTAAAAACACAGATGGTTTAAGAGCTATGTAAAAACAAAGGGATATGATTTTTAAAATTACCAGTGAGCCTTACACAAAGGATCTGACATTGAAACACATTACTAATGTTTCTTAATGAAGCTCTATGAAGTTACAGAAGTTAAGTAGCTTGAGTCATCAGGGGCTCATGGATGGGTGATCCTTTGGGAACCCTGTAGACTCACAGCACTGAGTCCCTGGCTGATAAGGATGAAAGGCAACGACTGACTTGAAACAAAACTGATTTAGGAGATTTACTCCTTGTGTCTAACACCTAAAGGGGTTTGGTATGCTGTGAAACAAGTTTGTTGTTTTTTTATTAGCCAATTTCACATCCCTTTAAGGGCAAGGACCTTCTGCTTGAGCAGGGAATTATTAATACTTCTTGAATGAAGTGATAGGATGATGGTCAAGGGTGAAAGGACGATCACAAATACATCCATGCCGGAAGTGGGATTTGAAAACCCGGCGAATCCTTCGAATCGAGATTGCCCCGGCACTACTGCCTTAGCGATCTGACTACCCCGGATTGGCTTTAACAAGTAACAGCATTAAAAAAAAGTTACTATCACCTCTTCTTTTTCTAGAACTGAGCAATTCTTGTTAAAAACAAAATTTTCCAGTAACAAGACCACGATCTGGATGATCTTAAGCTTAGGGTTAATTATTTTGTTTAATTGATTTATTATTTTGTGTTCTGGTGCATTAACTGCTGTGGTCATTAGTTCTGAAAATGAAGTGCAGGTTATCTCCAGGAGGCACAGAAGATTTTGACAATACGCATGAGGGAAAATACAGTTCTGGATTTTGATTTTTTTTTTTTTTTTTTAAGTTTATTATGCATTTTGTTATAATAATTTAATTTTTCCAATGCTGTTTTTACATTCAAGAAGGACATTGTCAGAAAATAATAAGATATTTTAGTCAAATATCCAAGAAAATATTGTAAAACTCAAAATTAAAATTTGAAAGTAATGCATTAACTTTTGAAAATGATTTTCTCAATATATTCCAGTGTTTTCTTCTTTCATAATGACACAAATGGTCCATGTGGCATAAAATATTATTCATTTTAGTATTGTTGTTTGTTAGCTCTCTATAACCTCTTGGCCTTTAGCTATGAAGGAAGGAAGAGTGTTGTAAGGTGATGATGGTGATAGGTACAGTCCTACCATCCCCAACGTCTTTTTCCAAACCTGGATTCAAGCTCATGACCCTTCAAGCAAAACAATTTTATGACATTACTGCCTCGATGATCTGTGCTACCCCAGCCAACTGAAACATTTTGTTATAGGAAACTAGAAAAAAAATCATTATACACCATCTTAATTACATGTCTGCATTTGCTGTAACGGATTTTTCCGACAGTGAGAATCTTACCAAATAAGAAAGAAGGGATGACAGGAGACCAAATTGGGAAACCAAAATTAAGAAATGAAATTGCCATCCAAACCAAGAAAGAAGAGGTAACATGGGGGAAAACAAAATTCACTTTCTGTACTTGCTATAACATTATTAGAATTTACCTTGATCCATGGGTAACATGAGTTTTGGAAGTTATACCGCATATGCACCCACACCAAAAATACACGGAATTAAATACATTAATATTTGAAATTGACATATTATTTGAAAGTTGATGTTATGCCATCAACATTTAAGTATATCAAATGGCATTGACTTAAAATTCAATATTAAATATTGTAATGGAATTAATATTGTATCTAAAAATCATGTTACTTATGGATCAAGGCAAATTCTAACCACTACTAAGGTTATTTTCAAATCACTTATATTCTTACTGATTGATTATAATGTCCTAACGTTTTTTTGTAGAAACTTTTTTCAAAAATTGTCTGTGATGACCAGTCTCAAAATATCTTTTTTTCCCAACGCTCATTACAATCCCAGAATCTCTGTCATCTCTCACATTCACAATTATAAATAATTAAAAATTGGTTCCAAATGCAAATTCCTATTTTGACCTAAGAGTAACTTTCACACTGACTCCCCGAGTCACCTTCGTGGTCTTCGCTTAGCAACTTCACATTTCCCTGACTGCAGCTGCTTGGTGCCAGATGAGCTTCCAAGAAATACATGAAGATTATTTGAAAGACTGGAAGATGATGCCTTGCTGCCTAAGCAACTGAATCCTTTCAAAGGAAATGTTTAAATGGTAATGACTAAAACGTTTTGTAGCTAAGTTACAATCGGTGCTAGAGCTAGACCTGCGCTCAAACTGCGTGCTTCATTGTTGCTGACCGTTGCTGCGTGACGGAGGGCGAGGCTCAGGAGAACTGGATAGGTGCGTGCATGAGACAGAAAGAAAGAATAGACGGAGAGAGAGACAGAGACGGCGCGCATAAGTAAGAGAGGATCAGATAGAGACGGGGCAGTCGGACAGGCAGACGTAGAGACGCAGAAAGACTCAAGAGACTGAAAGATATAGACAGATACAGAGAGACAGGCAGACGCAGAGAGAAACAGTGATGGAGACATAGAAGGGCAGGGTCATAGAGACAGAATCAGACAGACAGAGCCAGAGACGCAGAGAGAGAAAGATACAGAGAGGGACATGGAATCTTTTTTTTTCACAAAGATTGAATATGGAAAAAAACGGGCTCTGCTGGGTATTTTGGTTGTATATTTTAAATCATATTTTTAAGTAAAAGTATTGTGATCAAATAATACACTTTTTGCAGAGATCTTAAAACACTAAGAATGTTTGTTATGTTTAGTTACTGATTAATAAAATTACAATTTCTGCAGCGTTCTTAAAATGCCAAAAAGTTTTGTTGTGTTTAGATAGTGTTTAATAAATTTAATTGTTGATAAATGCATGAAATAAAAATATGAATTTCAGCACAACCTATTTTTATCTTAGTGTAATCTGTGCAATTAATACACCATTCAAAACTTTGATTGCCTCATCTCTATACATTTTTTATTAACATTCACTCTCTACAATTTGAGATTTTCACTCCTAAAACTTAAATGAATATACATGGCGAATATATGTATATAATTTGTGTAATGTATATAATTTTACAAAAATGTGTTTTGAAAATATCTTTAGATGTTAAGAGGAGAAAATTTGAAGTGTTAAAAACCTTTCAATGACAACATTGTGTCATAAAATTTTCAGAATTGGCATTTTGCATTTCATAAGGTTCTACCTTATAAGAAATGACTACTGTTCTGCTACGTATAAAATGACGATAACGATTATTTTGAATTCTAACTTGTTTACGAATTTTTTCCCACCTGTCCCATCATCGGACCCCTGGCCTTTGCCAGGACTGCCCACGCCTAGCGCCGGCACTAGTTACAATGCCCAATGCCGAATGTATATTCAAAATCAATCTATGAGAAAATCGTTCAGCTTGCGTCTCAATTATCAATTGAGATCTCTCATACGATTGTTAGTTACGAGTTAAATACAGGGGCGTAGCTAGGATGGCACAACCGGGGCCAACGAAAGCCAAGGCCCCGAATGAGGACATCTACCAACCCACAATAAAGGTGACTGGCAATGGGGGCCCTTTTGAATCCTCTTGACAGGATTCAAGCCAAAAAGTGTCATGTAGAGTACAAATGCAGCGGACTCGAAGTGGGAGGAGACAATTCAGCTTGCCCTCCCCCCCTTCCCAGCTCCAAAAATATTTTTGAAACAAAAAATGGTAATGTGAAATCAAGACAAAGAATATTGAAGAATGAGAAAACACCTTTGAATGTTGTGCGAACGTATATTGAAATTGTTTAGGATAAATGAAGTAAAATATTACCAAAAAATTGCGTTGGGAGGGCAGGGGGAGACAAATGGAGCCTAAAGTACAACAGATGGAGCTCTTTTCAGATAGAATAAGTTTCCATAGGATTTTTTGACCAATATGTTTACTCACTTATTAGGACTTGTTTTAACTGAATTTTAAGGGCGACTTGCACCCGGTGAAATAATTTTACATTTTCTTTTGCATTCATAAAATGTTTGAAACAGTTTAAGAATTTAACATTATATGGAATCTTTAGAGCAAAGAGATATTCAGACATTAAAACTGAAAAATATATGTAATCTTACGACAAAATACGAAACGATAAGCACTGCTTTGTATCCTCGCTTTAAAAAAATAGTTTTGAAGTATTTACATTTCAATTAATATAATGAATTTTGCGGTGTGATAATATTTAAAAAGTGCACTTAGAGGCAGTTCATATTCAATTGATACATAATGTTCGATCAAAGCTCAATCATCCCGACTGCCCTGATTAGGTTTGGCCGTCCGATTTAAGTCACGATGACACCAACAGTGTCCGTCCCCATCGAAGACTGTTCTTCCTCCAGATTAATTCTCCGTAGTAAAAAGACATTCCTCATCCCCTCATCTCTGCTATAAACCTTCGACAATGTATAATGTGTGAACATAATACTAGCCCGAAGGTGTAAATTTGAAAAAGCGCTTCAAATTCGTTCAAGATAACCAACATACACAACAATCTTTCCCTCATGTGCTTATAATGTTTCCCACTACTTTATGGAGGTGATATAAACAAAGTGAAAGAAGTTCTTCAAAAATTATTAATGAAAGGGAATAAATTATTGGTTCTTTTAAACGGCATTTAGATGTTAAAGACGCAATTGCTATTGAACTTGATTTTTATCCTGATATTTCTATGTAATACTTTTTGTCTCTTTATTGCGAATACAAATTATTTTCAGGCGAGAATTGTGATGTTTGAGAAATTGGTTAAAAAGGGTACTGTTCAAAATTTTAGAGAAATAAATTGATTTGTAATGTCATTCACATTCAGCAGAATTTATTGCATTTATTCTCCATAAAATAAGTTTGGAATACAAAGATTAAATAGATTTGTACTCTTACATTTATTTTGCTCCATTCGTTTTTAAAAACCCAAAAGTAACATTTAAGGACCATTTTCATAATTGGGTTGCGTGTCAGGCTGAACGATCCACTAGGCCTCAGCAAGTGAGAAACCATGATGGCTGCCTAAAAATGAAGATGAGCCAATAACGCAGTATTGTTTATGAAAACTCGGCAGGGAGTTTGTTATATTTTGATTGTGGGTAGGGAGGTTGAATCTGTGACTACAAGAAGCAGTGAAAAGGTGTCAAATAATGAACGGGTTAAGTTTGAGTGAGCTTTGTTGTTTGTTTTGTTGTCCTCCTTGTCCAACGAGAATAGCTGCCAAACTGGCATTCTTACCACCAGAACCTACTTATAATTTTCAAGCTGATGAGACAGGTTCGAGATTTAGCCTAAATTTAACGGAGAGAGCGGAGTGGCAATATTCTGAACGTGAGAAGGAGAATATTGAAGGCTTCTTCACCAGGACTTCAAGGGGCAACAGAATTGCCTGTTTATTTGTGAAATGCAGTTCGAACGCCAGGTTTACGATTTTGTTCTCTCATGGAAATGCTGTGGACCTGGGGCAAATGAGTAGCTTCTATTTAGGCCTTGGTTCTCGAATCAACTGCAATATTTTTAGTTACGATTACTCAGGCTATGGTGTAAGTACTGGGAAGCCCTCTGAGAAAAATTTGTATGCAGACATTGATGCAGCTTGGCATGCGCTTCGTACTAGGTACGGAATATCACCAGAGAACATTATTTTGTATGGACAAAGTATTGGAACTGTGCCGACAGTGGATTTGGCATCACGATATGAAGTAGGAGCAGTCATATTACATTCTCCTCTTATGTCAGGAATGCGAGTTGCCTTCCCCAATACCAAGAGGACTTGGTTCTTTGATGCCTTTCCTAGGTGAATGTTATTCTATTCTGTATGATAAATGTTCATGAATGCTTGAACCTAATACAGTTTGTTTACCTGTTAGTTTATTTACATGACATACCATATTTTTATTATAATACAGGAGAAATAATTTGCTTTTTTTTTTGTGTGCGTGTGTGAACTGGTAGTATGAAATATTAATGTAATATGAGGATAACTAATTTACGAGTTTGATGAACAGTTTAAAATTTTTGTGAACTTGAAATGATACTTGTTGTTTTTAAAAATATATTTACAGTATTATATATTTACAGTATTGACAAAGTTCCAAAAGTTACTTCACCTGTACTTGTGATACACGGAACAGAAGATGAAGTCATAGACTTTTCTCATGGTCTAGCTATTTATGAACGTTGTCCACGAGCTGTTGAGCCACTATGGGTTGATGTAAGTCCTTTTTTCTTTATAGTGCTTGTATTTTTCTGATAAATCTTTTTTGTTTTTGCTATTTTTTTGACATATAACATTGTTCTTTTGTATTCAAAGGGTGCTGGACATAATGATGTGGAGCTATATTCTCAGTATTTGGAGCGTCTGAGGCAGTTTGTGTCAGTGGAACTTCTCAACTGACAACTACTGCCACCGGGGGAGGAATCGGAACACAATGCTACATCAACAGTCAGCTCAGCAACTACTAGTTCTGTTACGGAAAAATTACTCTAGCTAACGGATACACCTGTGAATCAGACAGTTGGTGAATCTAACAGCACCACTGAAGCACAGGATGAAGTGTCGGATAGTGAACCTTGTACAAGCAAAGCTGCAAACAATAATTCTTGCAAATCAGAAGTAGAATCCAGTGCAGCTGTATGCAAAACTGTGAAAGATGTAGAAAGTGAAACAATCATCCATCCACCTTATGAATTGCCTAGAGAAACTACATGCTAGCTTCTTCAATACCTGACCATGGATGATTTGTAGAAGAAATTGTGGCATATGTTATTTGGTGTGTGATGGAACTCTTCACTACCCATTCGTAGTGAGGGATTTTAACTTGTGATAAAAACTCAGTTAATTGAAAATGTTTCCATTATTTGGTTTAACTATGCTAGTGTGTGTGGCTCAGGGTGGATATACTGTGTGTAGGAAACTTTTTTCTGCAGTTCTTCCACAGCTTGTTACAATTAAATAAATACTGTATATACTTCAGAGATGTGGTGTTTTCTTACATGGTGTGTGATGGAATTGATACCAGATTGAAGATATAAAAAAGTCTGATTAATGGAGCTTGCACCTTGTACTTATGCTTGTTCAAGCCCAGGGTGTATTGTTTGGAAATGCAGAATAATGTAAAATATTTGCTCCTACGTATGAATGGGTGTGACTGTAGCTGCCTACATGCATGTGTGTATTCATGCATGCCTGCTTGTTTGTATGCCCTGGAGAAAGATTGTGATGCTTGAGAGATTAAGCTGTCATTGAGTATCCTTTTGCGTGCAATTTCTATGTGGAGATTATAATCGGAACATAAAATGAAGGTAGTCTCGGGATTTCAGTACTAATTTGTGATTTTTCTTACATCAAGGTAACACCTCAATGACTTGAACTGGGAATTTTCAGTCTAATAAAATTGATTTTAATATGGTAATTTGGATGTAGAATTTATATTTATTCATGAAATACAATAGCATATTAGAATTGCCATCATGGTTTCTAAGGACGAATGAAGAGTTACAGAGAAGAAAATGGTGCTGTTTTCATATTAAATACATTTTTTCCGTGTTCTTGGATGTTTTTTTAATTTTCACAAAGGATTAAACTACAGCATTTTTGGCCTTCTGCAGTTATTTTTCTTTATTCATTTGAAAGATGGATGTTGAACGAATGAAGTAAAACCTAAATATTGTGCAGTATTTTATTCCATACTCTATAGGAATTCCATTTATATTTATGTTTTGAATAATTTTAATTTTGTGCTTGAGGTGGTTATTTGTTTGTAGATCTTGTTGAAGATATTAGTTTGCTTGAAAATTTATACTGTATTTTTTGTATTGTTTTTTACTGTAAGAACAATCCTATATGATTTATTACTATCCTTAATGTATTACAAAATTTAAGAAACTCACATTTATATTGAAATTACTTTGATAATGGAACTATTGAATACTATTAAGTATTATATGTATATGTATATATATAAAAAAAATATAAGTTGCTGTACTTCCTAAGATTCATATTGCATGTAAATATTTATTGAAATAATAGCTTCTGTTGAGAACTGAGATAATTCATTGAAAAGAACTTTCTCAATATGTTGCAGCATGTGAAGTTTTTTATTAGTAGTATTTATTTTAAGAACATTTTCCTATCCAGTTTCTGCAATGTTGAATGCAAAACAGGTCATATTCTGCTCAAGTTGAGTGATGAATTGGTAGTTAAATACATGTTATTTCCACAGCAACTGAGGAGTATTGGTATATGTTAAATTTAATTAGCTCCATTTACACTGCATGAAATGTTAATAATGTATAAGATACTGTTGTTGAATTTTATTATTGCTTTGCCCTTGCAAATGCAGCATAGGTTCTTGGATTCAAGAGTTATAATTGATGTATTTACATTTATGTCAGAAGGCTGGAACTATATTTCCTTTGGTGCCTTAATGTTTGTTTTATTTATTTAGACTATAGATTGGAATTAAAGTTCACCTGAAGTACCCGGCAAAGTTTGTATCGTTGCTTCTATTTACTGTGAAAGAGTAGCTGTCTTACTCCCTCCCTTAAATTGAATTTGTGATATGGCTTTTCTTTGGAGTGTACACCAATGTATTGTTGTGAAAATCAATTTGAAGGGTGCAGTGGATAAATCAATTGTGGAGGAAAGTTGCCTAATTATTTATATCTTATTTGTTTATCTATTCTTGTTAATGTAGGAATGCGAACTTACTGTGGATGAATTCTTAGTACATTTTTGCTGTGTTCTTTCTTTTGAGTTGGTTTGGTTTTTATTTATTTATTTATTTTTTTTTACTAAGTGCCAGGTATTTCTTAAATTGTATATGTGCATTTGAAAATGATCTGTTAAATATATGTAGGCCTATAGACTGCAAGCACTAATACCGGCATTTCATCTCCATATTAAGGGAAAAATAATAAATCATTTATCTTTTGTTTTCAATTGTTGTTAGTTAATATTCAGTTTATTGGTAAAACATTTAACATTAATTCAGTGCTAAAATGGAGTTAATAGTTTTCATTCACCAATGATATTTTTACTTTTTGTTTTGTTGGGTGTATAGCAGTTTTTATAATTAAACTAAAATGGTCACATCTGCTTTTTTCTTCTGAAAAATACCATTTTCCAAATATAATTATAAAAAAATGGAAGAACTTGTAGTTTATAAAAGTGCTTTATGATTGAATTATTTTTGATTAGTAATATTGACTTTTCAATGTGCATTTTGTCTGAAGGCACACTTGGATTTACTTATTACATATAGCATCTGCTGTGCGTTGTGGTGCCTTCAGTCCTCTTGTCAATTTTGTTTATTTATTATACCTAATGATACTTGATCACCATGACAGAAGCATTTTTGGTATTGGAATCTTTTTTTTTTCTTCCCTAATGTAGTAAAGAAGGTTATCAGTGGGATGTAGGAAGTTAATGTAGTAACCGTTGAGATCTCCTGTATAATTATTAGTAAAGGTTGTATGCAATATTTAAGCCAGTGTTAAAAAATAATCATTACAAGATCATGATTAAATTTGAAGTTTTCCTCTTTGCTCCAATGTATGGACCCTGGGAAAGTTAACTATATCTTTACTTCAGGAGAGTTTGTTACTATGGGAGTTACTGTTGGAAACAGTATTTTCGTAATTTCATTCAGGTATCCTACATTTTGTTTATGCCAAGCTTCTAAGCAGGTATTTTCATATTTGGAACATGACTGTCAGTCTGATGGTCTCTGGGTGAAAGGTTTGCTGTTGGGTGAGACTTCGAACTTTTGGTTTATACGCTTGCATTTTTCATCTCATTCAATTATTCTAAACACAATAGAAAGTAATGTTTTACATTCTAATATACAGCGTACAAAGTAAAACAATGAACCATATTGTAATATATATTGCTATGTTATTCAATTTTCTGTGAAATGGCATAGTTTTACTTGTACGAATACTTTATTTATGAGAGTTGTATGAGAATAAACTACTGGATTGATGATTTGTAAGTTAGTAGAATTATTTGTGTATTTCATATTTTCATAACCAAATGTATAATGAAAATGTGTTTTCATACATGAAAATAATATGCGTATACTGTTGCCTGTTTTTGAGGCAGAACAGGTACGAAGTGTAGTTACTCTATTGTATGGTACATGCATATTAAATAAACAACTTTAGGTTTCATTGTGTGTTCTTCAGTAGCTTAAGCAGCAATTGCAGATGAATTAATTGAAAATTAAATAGAAAATAATTTTCAGTTCAGAGGAATATTTTAAGAAAATAAGACACAGACTTAGAAAGACACTTTATTAGGAACAGTTTATAACAATAGAAAAGAATTGGTTTTACTAATTTTCTTTTGAATTAATTATGTTACTTCATGAGTTAGTGCAGTTGTTACATCTGGATTTTTAGATTCAGGGTCATTTTCTGTGGGAGAAGTCAAAATTTTAGTTGCCCCTGACAGGTATGTCATTGTCGCTAAGACTAGAACACCCAAAATTGCTGACCCTCCACAAACGTAAGCAAGAACATCTCTGTAGTAGTGTGGACACAACTCCTGACTGGAACATTTGCTGTGGGAACAGAACATTTTATTTCACTGGATGCTGTTTGAATTTTTCAATGGTTTGAAATTTCTTGGTAGAGAAATATGGTTATGATCATAATTTGTCAAAAAGTTATGATTATTGAAATTGCAATACTTACAGATCTTCAATGACCATGACAGCAATGCCATTAAATAGCTTATCTGCAAATGTTACTATACTATACACAAAAGCACCATTGTGTGTATGTGTTCCAATCAATTCTGCTGTTATGCAGAGGCTTGTGACCATTGTTACAGAACTTCCACCTCCTAAAAACAATTAAAAATACGAATTTCAATAAAAGTAAATGAGAAAGTCATTAAAGTTATTTAATTATTTGTTTCTGACCTAAGAGTATAGAGGCTCCGTAAACGTTTCCTCTTCCATGTGCTCCACCTGTGCCATAACGAATCCACACACAACCAAAAGTACTAATCACTGCCCCAATGAAGTAAGTAGTCTGAAAAATAATTACAAGATTTTACAGTGTTTGAAGTATTTCATTACTTTCTTATGTAATTCAAAGCAAAATTTACTTTACCTTGCTTCCCCATGAATTATTGATGTATTTTATGCCGAGTGAAGCAGCAAAGGAAGCTATGTATGAAACAAGGGGTACCAGAGCTAAAATTTCTGAATCTTCTCCATATGTTTCATTCAAATAAAGGGGCATATAAACAAGACTAATTGTTAAAAATAAACGACTGGCTACATGCAAAAATGAAACTTGGAACAATAAAGGTGATTTAAAGTAACTTGCTATTGAACTTTTCTTAAGTGAATCGAGCCCTGCTGTTTGTGTGTTAACTTTAGGTTTCAAATTATGTGCTTTCAGTCCAAAGTGGAAGTAAGCAGATGCTGCTAATCCAATTGCTGTTGTGATCAAGACAATATTCTGAAAAAAAAAAAAAATTTAGATTGTTATGAATATTAGGCAGTGTTTAGATTGAAGTTCCCAAACCTCTTGTAGAGATGTGAAAATGATTTTTTTCCTGTCAGGACTTAAATGAAGTATAACAGGAAAATTTCCCTGCAATTGTCGGGGCAGATGTTTACATTGAAGTTATATAGATTTTCTCTTTGCAATGTTGATTCAAAATAATGTCCTTATAGCAGGTAATTGCCAGAGCAGTCACATTTTTTTTTTAATCTCCAGAAGTTTCGGAACCATTATTATGTGAAGTACAAATCAGATAATTAGATATTAATTATACATACTCTGAATTTATAAGCATCTTCAGGTCCAATTGAATCAAACATGCTATTTCTAGTGACATGGAACACACACCATGTAATAACATATACTGCTACACTAGAGCACACTGATGCAGTGTATCTGTATACAAATACAAAGGTTCATATTAAGCAAAAACTGAAAATTAATCTTGTATTGATTCCATGGTCACAATTGGCATTTGTTTACCGAATAGCTGTGAGGCCAGCCCTTTTCTCCTGGTCCTCAGTGAGATCTGGTATGATAGCCAGGTGAGATATTTGTACTACTGCCCAACCTATTTGGAACACTGATATAATAGCTGCATAGTAGAGAGCCATCAAAGTAGGTGTATCTCTATCACAGCCTGGACACGGGGAGAAAATTAGAGGAAAACTAATCAACACCAACCCGGTACCTGGGAAGAGAAAGAACACATTATTGTTAGTTTACAAGAGTAAAGAGGTAGCTTTTTCATGCCAGTATTTGTATTTAATCATGAAATAATCACACCAAAAAAAATAAATAAAGAAAACAAAAGGTTGATATATCTTTATAACAGCGTAATGTATTGAACTATATCAAACTACCACTTAAAATACTACAAATGGTTCCAAGTGCCAGATTTAAGTATTATGGGAATCCAAAACACAAAATTGGATTCTCCAATTAAAAAAAAGCCTCATAGTTTTAGCAAATATAAAATTTTGCACATGATGAAAATATTTTTCTGACATATTTTTTTTAGTTTCATCTGTGGGCCTCTACTAACTTTTGTTCTGGGAGCCCCCATCATTGTCAGTTCCAGCATGGAACATTTGGAGGTTTGTGTAAACAATTCACACATTTAGTTGCAAAAAACAAAATAATGTGTATTAAACTATTTTAATATGTAACATCTATGAATTAACTTTGAAATTTTAAATACAAGTTTTGTAGTACAATAGACTATTTGAGGGACAATTACTTTACTGACAAAAATGTGCTATGCATATATTTCAGTGTGGGGCCCCCAAGCAATTGCTTAATTTGCTTGTAGGTAAATCTGGTTCTGCCAAAAGGTATTCTGAATGTTCAGGTTTCGAACACTTTACTTTTTTACCCACGTCCAATGTCTCAGCATTCTAAAGAAATTGAAATTATTAATATAAAACAACTGACATTCATTGGTAGGCATCTGAGTCACGTACCCCAGTATTGCTAAGGTTAACAGTGGGTTTTAACTTGCCTGCTAAGTGCCATAGCTTTCTGCTCCCTTTTTTATCTGAAAGTACTCCTACAACTGGTGTTGCTAGTGCATCGGTTACTTGACCTGGAAACAAACAAAATTCTCCAATTACTTAATCATATGCATTTACAAGATGTTTTTATGGACTTTGATGATAACATATTAAATATCATGTGCTGGTGAAAATAATGCCAACTCAAAAAATGGCAGTTTATAGCAAATATCAGTGGTGAACACCTTGTGTGCCTCCATATACACCAAAAATGTCAGATATCTTATTCGCAATTGATCCATCATAAGACTTGTCAGTTTTAATTCAGAATATTTTTTTATGCATCATGTCATCTTTTATTTGTTATTTCTCAAATGGTGCATTTTTAAATTGTTGAAATGAATGGGTGAAATCCACAACAGTTTAAGTGACATTTTATAAATTCTGAGAGAAACGTGTTTATATTAGACTATATTTCGGTGTCAATGTAATTTCGTGGCGTTAATGAACAATTGAAATGCCATGTTTTTAATGATAGCACAAAACACGCAACAACTTCAAAGTGATATTGAACTAAATAATTGTTTGCTCAGACTTTATAAAATGTATATTACCGATCTGTTTTTTCACCCCAGTCAACTGTACATTGCAGGATGCCAATACAAATAAAATGTCTTCATTAATTTTTTTTCCGTACATGCATTAGTGTAAACAGCTTTTGCAAATAATTTAGAGAGTAATGACAATTCTTTGTTTATGTAAGATTATTTCTTATTTGAGAAGAGTTTAAAAATTTACAGAAAAGAAAATGAATGGGCATTTCGCTAGAATGATTGGAGAATTTAAATATGGAGAAGTATTCATGTAAGAAAAGCAATGGGAAAATGAGTATTTCAGTTAGTAGCAATTGTTACAGTGAAGTTTGTAATGTCTGATGTTGAAAATATTCCAGAAGAATTAGAGATGTTTGTAGCCTTACAATAGCCTAACTTGGAGATAAAGGAGCTTGAATCTATGTCTCAATACACAGGTTGTGTGTTTGAGTCCTGTGTATATCACAGATGTTTTCACCATGGAATTACAGAGTGGTTGGCTTCTCATAGCACCATGTGCTATTTCTGAACCACCCATAATCATTTAAGTACCGTCATCCATCCTTCATTATCACTGAAAGGAAACGGTAAACCACCAGTGTGATCACCTGATCAGGAAAGCAAAGGTCATAATAACAAAAGCCTTCTCCCTCACCCGTACGTATGTCATTCATCACCACCATAGTCTTCTCTCGATTCAGTGGAATCATTCAATTTGAACATCTTTCTGTACTGAACTGGAACTAAACACTTCCTAAATGTTGGTACTTTATTATTTTGAACACATCTAAATTAGGAGGAACCAAAGAGTTAATTAATAGGTTATATTTAATTTGTCATCACATTATGTCTTTTCTTTTCAAGAAAAAAAAGAAAGAGAGAGACAAAATTTTTATTTAAGAATGTAAAACCAACTTAAAAACAATGCATATAAAAACAAACAAAAACTCATAGTTTCAAAACACATTAAGTTTACATTTGGTAATGATTTTTTTGGGAAAAAAGTTTTAAATGATGCCACTGGCAAATCAAAGGACTAAACATATTTAAAATTTTAATTTTGTTTTCAACTGCTTCTTTACATTTTAAAGTCGATATCAATTTTTTAAATTTCATCTTTACTCTGAACGTTTTTGTGGTGACTTTGGTGGAAATATGTACTTTCTTTTATTACTTTCTCCCTACAGAGTAGAGAGAAACTTATGTAATGCTGCACGAAAAAACAGCACATTTTTGGTGGAAATTTTTTTATTACAGGGCTGTGGCAATGAAAAAGTGGATAAATCAAATTATTAAATTTAGGGGGAAAATATCTTCTAATATGTGGTGTAGCCAGAATCTAAGTTTTGTGGGTCTTTGATAGCAAAAAATCGAATGACGGCAAATCTATCTGATGCCAGTCTGTGAACAATGCCAAGATGCGAAACGGTTCAGCCGATTTTCTCCAGCCCCATTCGATCTGACTAATATTGCGGCCTTCTGATTAAATTTTGTTTGATAGTGTAAAGGACGTTTTAGACAATAGTAGGATTATTTTGGAGTCTTCTGACAACTAAAATATTAAATATAGAGAGTTGATAATAAAATCTGTTCCTAAAAGATAGATTTTGAAATAAGGTCATGTACAATTTTTCAAACAATTGAGTACTTTTTGCTTAATTTTGCATGAAAATATGGGTGAGAAAAGTTTATAATGTCTGTCATTACCCCCCAGAAGAAAGATCATGCACCCTTTGAATTAATTGTTTAATATTTAAGATTTTAATGAAAATAGTACTTGTAATGTGTGATTCAGTGCATTGTTCTCGAGATGTTCAAAACATGAAAGGAAAAATCTAATGTGGAGCTGTTTCTGAGAAAATCTTTTTTAAATATTTTTGGAAAATTAATATGATTTGATTCAGAATCACCACAAAATTTCTACTTTGTAAAAATTTATGTTTGACATAATGTTATGTCTTAATAATGAAAGAATAGTATAGCATGGAGCAAACAGTTTTGTAGCTTCAATAATGAAGGTTAAGAAAAGTTATTTATAAAAGGAACTTTTGCAATTTTTTAAAAATTGAAAGTTATAATGAAAATCATGTTTTTATCATACTTATTACCACACTTAGATCCATTTGAGTAAGAAATGTAAAGAAATTCATCACGTTTTTTAAGAAAATTATGAAAATGTGGGCATTTCATATTCAGTAATACTTACATTTAAAAGATTTCTTTCAAATTGCAGCACTTTAAGTTGAGGCAAACTGATTAAAGAGTATTGAGTTTTTGAAATTTCTCTGTGATCAGTTTGAGGCAATAGTGTTGTTTGCATTGTTAAAGTATCTCTCCACTTCATAATTTATAATGGTATACATGTATCCCTAAGAATATACCATCAAATTAATATGGTACCAAGATGTATTACCTTCTAAATCATATGAAAGATGGCACATTTGCAAAAGTTAAGGGTGAAGAAACAACAACTACAATAGCAATACATAATATACACTATACAATAACATAATATACAATATGAATTGTACAGCCTTCTCCTTGTGAAGTTGATTTAAAATTAAGAATGTAATTTTCTATCTTCCAAATCCCATTCTCTAGTCAACACTTTTTTGTTCTTTTCTGGAAAATATGATGTACTGAAATGTTGAAACTGCAAAAATTCAAATTTTGATGTAAATAAATGATAAAAAGGATCCATATTAAAAATAGTATTGATTTTGGTATTGTATTTTTGTCTGCAGGTTATGCCATTCATTTTCAGTCACCTCTTCTTCATAAACTACATACGTTTTTGTTGAATAATAGTTTTGATGAAGAATAGTTTTGATTTCATGAACCACAATAATTAGGGATTCACTATTTTGAGAGAAATTTTAAATTCTCGAAATTAAATACTTCAACTTATTGTTGGTTTGTAATGTCAAAACAAATATTTGAATGTTTTAATAGAATATCCATTCTCCTGTATAATTCATATGCAGCTGGACCAGAAACAATTGATAATTTTTCAATTCTTTCAAAATAGGAATGACACCATTTTAACTGATTACAAGAACTTCTCTTTTGAACCAAAAAATATGACATTTTTCACAAAATATTTTGGATTATGCCTCAGTTGTAAAGGAAATGAGAATTTTTTTTTATATATCCTTTAATTTTTATTTGTTCTAAGATTCAAACACTTAAAAAATACATTCCAATTTCATTAAAAAAAAAAAAAGTATTTGAAAATAAACTATCAAATTTACATTATTTTATTCTCAAAGTAAAAATGTTCAATTATTGAGTATTAATCAAGAAAATTAGAGATTCTTAAACAGTGTATGTAGCAGACTTGAAGAAGGGTACATGAACATCCATGAGAAGACTTGAAGAAATACCTCACTTAACTGAAAATATGAAATATGAGGGCTGTCTACAATGGAGATTATTCCAGGGTGTGGTGGAATATTGCAGACACCTCAATAACCCATGGGGACCTACTAATGACCTTCAGGAGAGAGTTGGGCAAACTAGAGAAATGCTGAATAAAGGGATTTCATACACATAACTGAAAAGTTAATGTGTGGATTTTTAATTTTGCAAGAAATTTAAATGGCATTATATTTGTGCATCCAACGTACACTCACTTAACAAATAAGTTAGACAAAAAGCTGAATTAAAGAAGAGTATTTGTTAACTTTCAACTTTCAGCACAGTCATGAGAAAACTAGCAAGTCATACAGGTACATCTATCTCATTGAAAATTTCAAATTGTCTCTCGACTATAGAGTTGGCATTTTTTGTGTCATAGTTACTATAATAATACAAAATTATAATTATTCAAATTTATGGCTTTGTGGCTCGGTGCTTTGTAAACATTTATGCAAGGTGTTACTATAGCAAATAGGTGAAGGTTTTTGTAGAAATGGTTTGAAGATCTTTTAATTTTTTAGGCACATATTCATTAATACATTTTTATTTAAAATCAAACAAATCTTAAACCAAAGATTAATTCATTTTTGAATGTCTGCCTAAAAAATTAAAGATCCTTCAAACCAATTCTAAAAACGTTACAAGAAAGGCAGTTCTATTCTCTCTGAATAATTTTAAAATTTTCTTTCAAAACAACAAATAGTTAAAGAGTTATAACATTATATAAATATACAGATAGTATAAATACATCATCAAGGCGCAGGAAAATGGCGATTTTTCGACAGAAAAACTCTCTATTGCTGGGCCCTGGAAATGAAAAGATCGATAAATCTTGATCCTATTTGTAGTAAAGTATTTTCCCTAACACTTTGTGAAGTCAGAATACATGTTTTATGTGTCCTTGATACCGAAACATCGATTGACGGCAAAACGCCTGTCGCTTCGTCTGTCCACCTATCTGACCATGGCCAAGGCTACTGCCTGAACCTCGAAGATAATTTTCTCTAGTGGTCACTTATTTAAAGTTTCTCGTCAGGAGGATTTATATTATATGCATCGGAGAAGATGATTTGTATTAAG